ATGCTCATGTTTTACTACCAGTCCCACAGCTAGCGTCCATAGCTTCAATTACAATTCACAGCACATCGGCCCACCCAGAACAAAAAGAGAGGCTGTAATTCCTGACAAGCACTGTGTCTTACTAGCCTTCCTCTGAATCTGAGGACTGATCCACGCATCATTCCTTCATCTGCCGGTTTCTTTTTCTCTGTCTGGTTATCAAACGGCATTATGTCTATATCTCCGAGGCTCTCCCCAAAATGTTTGATCCGACCACTTTCCACCACTCCACTGGCAGGAAATGAGATGGTGTCATGATGATATGGTCGATGATACACTGATGATCTCAAGGGTGACTGTGGCTTCACTATTTCCCAGATGTTGAGTATGATGATGTCTGAAAATTGAGCTTTCGGCAAATAAAGTGGTTATGAACACGGAGGAAAAGGGTTATTTAATAGCACTCGACTCTGGACAATAAGCATCAGCATCAAGGTTCTGCTTTTCTATCTTTTCACAGTCTGGAACTTGCTCATGCTGAGAATATGTGTGAACTCACATTCACACATTTAAAATCTGTCCCAAAAGTACCAATACAATTCTTACCTACGGTTGATGTCGATAGATCTACTATGTCATGAGTCATTGCCCCGCCGCTGGTCATATAAGTGGGTCCTCAACAAAAGGAGTTTTTTAACAAATTGTTCTGTTATACTCATCTTTCAAGTTATATTCATGTTTGTTAAAAATGTAAGTACAAAATCTAATCTGAAACTGTTATAGTGTGAGCGTTATAATAATCCAATTTGATAGAAAGGGAAAATGAACTGACTCAGAATTTAAAAGATGAATCATCCCCTGGACGGTAAAACATCATTTGGTCATCACAAGCCCCCAGGAAGTGTGCCAGACGTTAAAGCAAATGTCGATAGAGGCTAAACAGCGGCACGACAACTTCTGTGTCAGTCTGCGACATCAGTGTGCTCTATTCACCTGACTGAGATCGGCCGTGACACTATGAATTGGAGGTAGGGCTTAAGAAAAAGTGTGCACGCTCTATAAGCCCAGATAGAAGTACTTTTGCTCTCGAGAGTCAGGCCATTTTGGCTTCATGCACCCCTGAGCAACTTTCATAAGACCCGGGTCCCTACTCCAACGCTGTATCCAGCTCCCTTTATACATCCATGGGTCATCATCGTCGTAAGTGAGACAACATCCATCAGTGTTCAAGAGAGTTTGTAGCCTTGAATGTTCAAATTAAAGTTGTGGGACGAGGATTGCCGTTGTTGCTGCAAAGACACTTGTGTCTCTTGTTAAAACACTGTAATTCTCATAGAACCGATGCTAATAAAATATGGTATTGTACCGAGTGCAGCAGTACCGTTGTAGTTTGACACTTTATTCTTACCTGCCTGACAAAGGAAAGATAAGAAGATGAGTAAGAATTGTACAGTTTTGATGAATACTGAAACTCGCAATGGTCTGTGCCTCCCCGTATTCTTAAAGTCAGGAACTTAAAGCGAACTTCCAAACCTCACAATACTTCAAGGGCATTATAAATCATTTTCCGAAGTCTGTGTGATGGTGGGTGTATAGATCACACCTGGACTGTGAAGTTGTGCTACCCTTACTGACCTTAGAAACTCTACTTTTTGTTCAGGCTGAATTGGCACCAGTAGGTTATTTCTTATTGTTGGAAAATGACTTTGCTTGTGAATGAAAAGTTATGTGTGACTGTCATGTAATATCTGTAAAGAAATGTACTTTGTTCTGAGTTCTCAAACACATAAAGCTAGACACACATCAAGTGGTGTGGATTATTATCTTGACTTCCTTATTTATTGTAAGAGAGAGTTTTACATGAGATGATTTCTAATTAAAAAGAGTGTGGTGTGCTAAAAGAGTACATCAATGGTTCTGCAGATTTGTGGGTGCATTACTTATATAAAACACATACCAGCGCAGTGAGATTATACTGTAATTTAGACCCTCACACATTGCATCGACGTGCTCAAGCACACCCACATTTACACATTTGCAAAGATAGACGCTCACAGAAGCCTTTTGAGACCTGCCTTCAGCAAATTCATTTTATGATTAGAATTCTACTTAGAGTCAATATCTGTGAACTTACTCCCCATAATGAATTCATAATGGACAAACGCATTAGTACAGGCATCCTCTTTTCCTTCCCATGCCAACAACTCGGCTCCCCGTGGAACCGTCATGGCATCAAAAATGCATCGAGCATACCCAGCAGACCCATCCACCATGACACTACTGCTTGACATCACTCTGAGCAAATTGCCGGCAATCACATCAGGAGGCAGAGCAGCTTTCATTCCAGCCATTATCCTTTTATCTCCTTGGTAATGATACATACTAATCCTCACAAAACAAGGTGGAAGCTGGACAGGTTTTCAATGACCTGACAAAGTGAAGCAGAAACTTTTTAGGCGCAGAACCTCTTAATGCCTTTGGAGGAACATCTCTGCCATGTTATTTGACTCCAACCACAGACGCAATTAACAAGAGAAGGAAGCCACCCTTTCCTAATGTCAGCCTAAAAACCTTTCCCCGGAAACCAATTACTGGCGAGTGAGTTCGTCTAATTCGCTGTGACATGTCTGGCTGCACAAAAACACGAGAAGACCGAGCTGGAGTTGTGATGAGGGATCAGGGGTTCGGGGCTACGGTGAAATGAATTGTCTTTTTTTGCCCCCCATCCCTGTCACCGCGTGGTGACCTTAAGCTCTAAGCCACAGGGGCCTGGTGCCTGACACTGGCAGTGTTAGTATTCAGCATTCAACCCACTCATCCATCACATTTTTAAGGTCAGCATCTATTTCCAGTCACTCTATCAAATGATACCCAGCCACATTTACACACCACAACATAAAAGCAGGTCGGGTGTAAACATACACACTAATGGTCAAATAAAAATAAAGCATAAAAGCTGCACACATAACCATACAACACTTAACGGAAAAAAGGAGCACATTCACAGTCGGCTGTGGTTTAAATTGCTTTTTAAAGATGCCAGTAAACAAGGAGGTATTCCCATCACATTTCACACGTATAGCATCTCTTACTGACTTCTGTTTATGTGTTACTGAAAGCATCATCTCTGTACCAGAAGAGAATAATAAAATGTTTAATCAAGAAGGAATTTGTTATTCTTTTAAATCGAGTCAAAATTAAACCATCCACCGCAGTATTGCAGTAGAATTGTAGATATTACAGGATGTTATAGTGATAAAGCCATCATGAAGCCCCTTCTCCGGGGGTTTCACGACCATTCACACCTTAAACACTCTCATGACTATGGTGTTATCTTCACAGTTCACATGTGACTTCCACCACTCTCAAGAGCCATCATGGTCTTTAAATGGCTTTTTGACTCGCTATCAAACAGTAGAACGGAGTCTTGGATCCAAAATTAAATGTCTTAAATTCTACATTGATTTTATTTCACGCCACACTTGTTTACCTGGATCAACGATTCAACAGATAATGGTGATACAAGTTCCGGGGTCTTACTCCAGTTCACTGTTCAGGGCTCAACATTAAAGATTGCCCGATTGTCAGAAGCAATTTTTTATGGAGCTGAAGATGGAAGTAGTAAAGGAGTGAGCCATAGCAACAGGTGAAGACAATGTTTATGAGCCACAATAGCAAAAGATAGCATTAAAGGGGACCTATCATGCAAAATGCACTTTTTGATGTCTTTTATACATAAATATGTGTCGAGGAACTCACGCAGCGTCAGAAAATAAAACCCTTTCTCTTTTCCTCCGTAACCAAATCTTTTAAAAATGGGGATACAACCATGGATGTATAATAAGAACTGGATACAGCGTCGGAGGCGGGGTCTTGTTCTTTCCTATGAGAGCTGCTCATTGGCGCATGAAGGCAAAATGGCCCAACTTTTGAGAGAGCGAAACGTCACAGATTACCCATCTTTCTGGGCCGGGTGACGTCACGGAAGTTGCAGTACCGCCGTCTTGACACTACGAATGTTGGGCATAGGCCGTTTCTCAATGTGGAGTACACATGCTGCAGAGCCACTATTTCAAGTATACTACATCATCGAGTGGCACCGAAGGACTGTTTAAATGCACGTTAAATGCCCAGCATTCTGCGCCACTCTATGACGTAGTATACTTGAAATAGTGGCTCTGCAGCATGTGTACTGAACATTGAGAAACGGCCTCAGAGTCCGGAGCACTTCCTGGGGGCTTGGGTACAACGAGTGGATACAGATTTGCTGCCGATCTGACGTCAATTCGGCGGCATACCCACAGAAAGTTGCTATCAGAAACAATGCCTGACGTGTTTTGGACATTATCTCGTCTTTGTTTGCATTAGCAAGCCTCGCTAACACTCAGAGCTAACCTGTACTGAAGAGCACATGTGTTTAAAAAGCAGGAAATAAAAAAAGGAACTCACCTTTTGATAAACCTGCAAGAGAAAAAGCATTTGAGCTCCATACTGTTTCAGAAATAATCCTTGATGTGGTTTAGAACAGGATGNTCAAGTTATGTGACTTACCGAAAACTTTGTATTAACGACACAACCGAAGAATTCGGGACTTATTTTATATTGTTGAATTTATTTTGATACTTTCTTGTTCAGTTTGTTTCGGACTGTCCACATATAAATTATGAACAATTTCTTACGTTCTCAAGATATTGTTCGAAGTACTTTTCACCGCTCAAATTCACAATAAGTAATTTATTGAGTAATGCGATATATTTTTCATTCCTTCTTAGTGTAAAAGGTTAAGAAGGAAAGTAAACTTTTATTACTTAGTCAACAACAGTGGATGTACGACCACAACAACACGACACAACACACACCACGACGACACCGACACACACACACACACACACACACACACACACGACCACGACGACACACACACACGACGACACACACCACGACAGCACGACACACGCACACACACACACACACACACACCACACACGACACGACTACACACACACGACACACACACGGTAATGGCAGTCTCAGAGCGGGAGTACCACTTCAGGTCGTACCGCACCGACTTGAACAGAGCGAAAACGGGGACGAAGTCGACGACTGAGTCTGAGAGGTCCCGCGGCCGGGAAGAGGATTGGTTGTGTTTTGTCAAGTTGTCAGCCGAGTCTCACACTAAGTTAGTCTCACTTTTGGTTACTTACTCGAACTTTGGTGGCTTGGACGTCAACCTACGTCTTTGTAAAATCTATAAATATTTGTTTAATCTAAAAAAATCGTAGAATTCAAAAGTAAACTAACGTAAATAAAACTCAATATGTATAATTTCGTCGATTACAGAATTAAAGTGTTAGAGGTAAATGTTGTATTAGAGTAATCTACAGACAACCGGATTTCGTGTAGCAGTGCGTTTAGTCAAAATTTATCAAAACTTTTAGGAAGCGGCGTTATTGTTTAGTTTCGTCTTTAGAGTCTTTACAAGGAAACCAAGACCTATAGTTAGCCGATTACTGTTATTACAACTAATCACCCTAAGTTTGCCTCTTTCGTCTCCTTATTGTCGTTGCCAAAGTCATCTGTAAAACACAACATCAAACAAACGACTTTACAATTACAGTTGTCGTTTAACAATCTCACACAATAGGAGACGAAAGAGGCAAACCTTAGTGATTAGTTTGTAAAACAGTAATCGCTAACTATAGTCTTGTTTTCCTGTGAAAGACTCTAAAGACCGAAACTAAAACAATAAGCCGCCTTCCTAAAGTTGTATAAATTTTGACTAAACGGACACTGCCTACACGAAATCCGTTGTCTGTAGATTACTCACATACACCATTTACCTCTAACACTTTAATCTGGTAATGAGAATATACATATTGTACGTTTTTATTTTAGTATAGTTACTTTTTGAATTCTACGAATTTTTTTAGATAACAAAATATTTAATAGATTTTACAAAGACGGTTAGTGAGTCCAGACACCAAAAGTGAGTAAGTACAAAAGTGAGACTAACTTAGTGTGAGACTGGCCTGACACTTGACAAACACAACAAATCCTCTTCCGGCGGGACCTCTCAGACTCAGTCGTCGACTTCGTCGTCCGCCTCCTCGTTCAAGTCGGTGCGGAACGACCTGAAGTGGTACTCGCCTCGAGACTGCCATACGACGTGTGTGTGTGTGTTGTGTGGTGTGTGTGTGTGTGTTGTGTGTGGGTGTGTGGTGTGTGTGGTGTGTGTGTGTGGTGTGTGTGTGTGTGTGGTGTGTGTGTGTGGTGTGGTGTGTGTGGTGTGTGTGTGTGTGTGTGTGTGTGTGTGTGGTGTGTGTGTGTGTGTGTGTACATCCACTGTTTGACTAAGTAATAAAAGTTACTTTCCTCTTAAACCTTTACAACTAAGAAGAATGAAAAATTATCGCAATACTCCAATATATTATTATTGGTGAATTTGAGGGTGAAAAGTACTTTGAAAAATATCTTTGAGAAGTAAGAAATATTCATATTTATATGTGGATCGACATTTGAAGAACATGTTTTTATTACTAATTTTCTTTAAAAAACCTACTTTATATCTGTATTTGTTTCTCATGTTTCTCCTCCCACCTCCTCCCCCCCCAGGCTCCCCCAGCGTGTCAGACTCCAGAATATTCCGGGAGGCTCGGGGTCGCGGCACTGCCGAGCCGCACATCAAGAGGCCGATGAACGCCTTCATGGTGTGGGCCAAAGACGAGAGGAGAAAGATCCTGCAGGCCTTCCCCGACATGCACAACTCTAACATCAGCAAGATCCTCGGTAAGACACACACACACACACACTGACACACACGTCTCCTTTGAGTGACAGCAGCCTCTGCCCTGGCCACCTGACCCCCCCCCACTACACAGTGCGCAGCCCAAGAGGAAGGGAGACGCATTTACTGCAGCTCCTATTTCCCACGTTCTCAAACACAAAGTGATTTCATTACAAGCGGTGGCATTGTGTAAGCGGCTGTTAATGAACGGCTGGGGAGGGCACGGCTCCGACAAATGATGATATAATTCATTATGCATTAAACAAGCAGCGCGAGGCCGCCTGACATTTCCCCCAGACCGCCGGGATCGGCCCTGACATTTTAAAGAGCTCCTAAGCGTTTTATAACACAGAGAAATCTGGTTTTAATAAGCCCTCTCCTTTTCTCCCTCTCGATTGCTAACAGATCGCAGAACAGAGAGGGAAAGACAGAGCGCACGAACAGCCAAGTGCTGACAGCTTTTACCCATTAAACATACAGTAGTCAAGTGCAAATTCAGACCAGATATGAAGCACACAGGGGAAGACTAGCTCAAGATTACACCCACACACACACACACACACACATACAGGGAACTGATACTACAGATCTGTGAGCTGAGAGAGATGACAGCAGGTTCAGTGAAGTCCTCATTAGTTTAGATAAGTACCTGTCGTCCTCACCGCTCCCCTCATTAACCTTTTTCTTTTAACCGCTTCCTTTTTCATGGTGAAACTGCCACCATTATCCGGGTGTAAGTGTGTCGGTATGCCCATGTGATGCCGCCACGCAGACTTTTGTTCGTCAAACAGATGATTACTGCTTAGGATGCCAATTTATTTTTGTAATTTTTTTCTGTACAGCACAGATACTAATCATTATTTTCATTGTTAAGGCTCACGCTGGAAATCCATGACTAATCTGGAGAAGCAGCCGTACTACGAGGAGCAGGCTCGCCTCAGCAAGCAGCATCTGGAGAAATACCCCGACTACAAGTACAAGCCGCGGCCCAAACGCACCTGCCTGGTGGACGGCAAGAAGCTGCGCATCGGCGAGTACAAGGCTATCATGAGGTCCCGCAGGCAGGAAATGAGACAATACTTCAGTGTTGGGTAGGGATCAAGAGCAGTAGCTGTTATGCTTTAGTATACTTTAATATTGTAGTTTATTAGCAGATTGCATTTGCACTTTTGCTTTTTCCCCAATACATTTGATTAAGCCTCATGACATCAGTTTCAAGATAAACAAGACAGAATTTCATGAGCACTCTTTAAACATTGAGGCTTGATTTAGATTGTTGATTTTCAGTCAAGCAACACAAGCCACAAGTTTTAAAATAACTCCACAACATTTGTAGATGTTCTCATTCTCTGTCTTTAAAACTAAATCTTCTTATGATGTTGCTGATAAATAAATCAGTCAAACTAATTTAACCTCAAAGATGGAGATATTTGGGGAAATAGGGGGAAGACTTTAAAACACTAAAAAGAACCTAAGTAAAAGAAGAAAGACAAAAAAAACACTATTTTGCTGAAGTGATCACAAAAGGTATAAATCTAGTTGGCCTGGGTGGTGGATTCTGTTTCCATGTTGGAGCCAGATGAGCTGTTTGTGGTTTGGAAAACACTCGTATGCTTATCATGTGTTAACATCCCTCTGCTGTGTCTTACAGGCAGCAAGGCCAAATACCCTTGTCCTCCGGAGGGGTGGTTTACCCAGGCGCCCTCTCCATGGCAGGAATGCCCTCCCCCCAAATGCCCTCAGAGCACTCAAGCATGTCCAGCAGCCCAGAGCCAAACGCCACCCACCACCAGAACCCCCACCTGGCTGGCCTGAAGGGGGAGGAGCCACGAATCAAGCAGGAGGTGCTGCGGCTGGACGACAGCAACGGCAACGGGTACGACGACTTCGAATACGAGGACGAAGAGGCAGAATACACCAGCGATAATGAGAACCATATCACCCAATAGGACGGCCTGACAGCTGCCTATTTCTAAGCCAATCACAGCTGGTTATCCCCACACAATCCTAAACCCACCAATCAGGAAGAAAACTCTCTTTTTGCCAATCACCTCGAGTCCCAATCTCACAACACCCGCCCCCCTACCCTTCCTGACTAACATGGACTCTTTAAGAGAGCCAAATGTTTCCCATCCCCCCCCCCCC